GTGCATTTTACGCTTACTAATTGGGAGTTGATGTGAAACTCACAACGAGAGTTGCAAATTTTTTTACTCATTATTATTGTAGATTGTAGATTGCATTATTGGGAAATGGACTAAGAAATACAAGAACTTGTTAATTATCGATTCTCAATATATTTATTTTATCGAACACAGCGTGGAAAGCAGAGCGTGTGAACTCGTAGAACTAACCATAGGAACTGGATTCAACATCAAAAGACAAAGAATTACAAACCCTTTCTAAGGTGAACAAAATTCCTCATCTGTTTATCTTACATATAAAAACTATTATAAACACATACATTCAGTTTAAGTTAAAGTAAGCCAGATTGGGTTAGTTTCGGCAGCGCATTGCGCACCCATAAATTCCGCAATAATCCACTTATTTGTACAGGGTGTTTTTCCATAATATTGACACCCCCACTTGAGCCTTTACTTTTACAGGTAAAAGAAAGGTGTAAAATTAAAAGTTGTACAATTTTGGCTGAATTTTTAGAAACCATAATCAGAAACAAAATTTGAATGTCAGAAATGTGAAATTTTGCATGCTTCCACCTTTTTTCAAATAGGATGCCTTATATTTCATTCTATATTCTTGAAGAGCACAATGCCCCGATTCCAAACATATATAGTTTGTCTATATTTGATTGAACAGTCTCTCATATATTCGGCTCCCAAAAATTGTAAAAATACTATCCTACTACTGATTTTGTGAACCATTCTACTCATACAGGTGAAAGCTGCAGGTAAAATTTGAGGTACTTGGTTTCTCTGATAGTATTTTTAAAATTTTCAGAACCAAATATGTGGGAGACGGCTTAACCAAATACCTATGGACAAACTATATAGTTTTGGAATGGGGAAATTGTGCTCTTCAAGAATATGGAACCAAATATAGCGCATCCCCTTTGAAAAATCAGAAAGCATGCAATATAGGGCCTCTAATTAAAAATTAGGAGCTCCTCTAGTTTTTGAGAAAATCAAAAAAAAAAAACTAAGGGATTGCTAAGTTTATGAAAGCTAGTAGTCCCCTATAGTGAAAAATATTTTTCCAAAAAAAACTTCGGGATCTATATATTAATTATGTGCTTTTTAGGTGCTAATTAGGGCCTCTAATTAAAAATTAGGTGCTCCTCTAGTTTTTGAGGAAATCAAAAAAAACTAAGGGATTGCTAGGTTTATGAAAGCTAGTAGTCCCCTATAGTAAAAAATATTTTTCTAAAATTTTCTTTTGTATCAGAATTAGGTGCTTTTTAGGTGCTCCTAAATAGTCGAAGAAAAAATAGAATTGATTAATTATTAACTGAGTTACAGATTTTTTTTTCAATTATTAGGGGACTGCTGGCTTTACGTCTACTTGTTGGTGTGTCAGAATGGCAAAAAAACTTCGGGATCTATGGTATAATAATTGGGTGATTTTTAGGTGCTAATTAGGGCCTCTAATTGAAAATTAGGTGCTCCTTTAGTTTTTGAGAAAATCAAGAAAAACCTCGAGAAAAAGTAAGGGACTGCTAGGTTTATGAATGCTAGTTAATAATTAATCAATTCTATTTTTTCTTCTACTATTTAGGAGCACCTAAAAAGCACCTAATTCTGATATGTACAAAAGAAAATTTTGGAAAAATATTTTTCACTATAGAGGACTACTAGCTTTCATAAACCTAGCAATCCCTTAGTTTTTGATTTTCTCAAAAACTAGAGGAGCACCTAATTTTTAATTAGAGGCCCTAATTAGCACCTAGAAAGCACCTAATTATTATATAGATCCCGAAGTTTTTTTTTTCCATTCTGACACACCAACATGTAAACCTAAAGCCAGCAAACCCTAATAATTAAAAAAAAAATCTGTAACTCAGTTAATAATTAATCAACTCTATTTTTTCTTGGACTATTAAGGAGCACCTAAAAAGCACCTAATTCTCATACAAAGAAATAATGTGAAAAAATATTTTTTACTATAGGGGACTGCTAGCTTTTATAAATCTAGCAGTCCCTTAGTTTCTTTTTGATTTTCTCAAAAACTAAAGGAGCACCTAATTTTTAATTAGAGGCCCTAATTAGCACCTAAAAAGCACCTACTTATTATATAGTTCCCGAAGTTTTTTTCCACCTTGGGACTGCTAGGTTTATAGACCTAGAAGGAGGATTATCTGTTACTGTATCTCCATCAGAAGGTGTCAGTTGGGTCGTCACTTTCTTCTCACATTCAAAAATAGATATATTTTCATTATTATCGTTTATATTTTGTATTGTATCTCCACAGGATGTTAGCAGGTTGGCCTCTTCCTTCTTACTCACGAAAAAAGAAATTGTCTGAGTCACCAACTTTGGCGGCCCTTTTAAAAGGTTCATAATCTTGTTTACTCGTCTAGCCATTTCTGTAGAAGAGATACACACACCGTGTGTTCTTCGATTCCTACATTATAAAAATGATACATACATTATAAAAAAAAAACAAAAATAATTTACTAATTACAGTGAAAAGTAATATTTATTGTGGAAATATTCGCAACTCCTCCTAGATTCAATTATTTGCTTTGCCGCAAAATGCGTATCTCCTAATATGAACAAATATCGGTTTAAATCAGGTATTTTCGAAATATTGCTTACAAGTCATACAAAATAATAAATTATAGACTTACCCCTCCCAAAATTTTCTAAAAAACACCAAAAATTTTCACAAAAATGCAAGGATTTTTAGTAGTGAATCGAAGAACGAACATAACCTCGTGTTAAACGATGCCACTGGTTGGACTTACGTATTTTGCCCATCAAAAATTTGAAGCATGGAGATAGGCAATTTTCTCTACCAGCTTCTGTTTCAAAACGGTTGATTTTCCGGACTTAGCATTTTTCACACCGTAGATATGATATTCTAGTGTTAGATGTTACGCACTTTGCGAATTACACTGACGGTATTGTGATAAGTTATTCAAGTACAAACGAGTGGATTGTTGCGGAACTTATGGGTGGACCTCTGCGGGACGAGCGCAGCGAGTTCCGCAGCCATCTATTCATCAATATGTTGTTTAATTACGATACTAAACTAACTCAATCAAATGTGCGTTATTCTCATTAGTTTAAAAATTACACATTTCAGGTGAATGTCTTACTTTGAACAGTTCAATAGTATATTGGTGATTAGATGGCTGCGGAACTCGCTGCGCTCGTCCCGCAGAGGTACACCCATAAGTTCCGCAACAATCCACTTATTTATACTTGAACAATAACTTACTATATAAAGGCATAATTTGTAAGATTATCCACTTTTTGTCAATTGGCCTTTTAACAGGAATTAGTAATGTTACTTTACCAAACTAGTAATATATTGTGACAAGTTCTTCAAGTACAAACGAGTGGATTGTTGCGGAACTTATGGGTGGACCAAGCCATCTATTCACCAATATGTTGTTCAAGTACAATACTAACCTGAATCACTCAGTTGTAATTTTTTCTCATTAGTTCAAAAACAACACGTTTCAGGTGAGTGTTTTATTTGAACAGTTCAACAGTATATTGGTGAGTAGATGGCTGCGAGACGAGCGCAGCGAGGTCCACCCATAAGTTCCGCAATAATTCACTTATTTGTACAAGGTATTTATTTATATATTGACACCCCACCTACAGCCTTTACCTTCACAGGTAGAAGAAAGGTGTAAATACAAAAGTTGTACAGTTTTGGCTGAATTTTTAGAAACCTTGGTCAGGAACAAAATTTGAATGTCAGAAATGTGAAATTTTGTATGCTTCCAGCTTTTTGAAAATGGGATGCCCTATATTTCATTCTATATTCTTGGAGAGCACAATGCCCCGATCTATATTTAATTGAGCAATCTCTCATATAATTGGCTCCAAAAATTGTAAAAAGACTATTCTATTTACTACTAATTTTGTAAACCATTCTACCTGTACAGGTGAAAGCTGCAGGTAAAATTTGAGGTACTTGGTTTCTCTGATAGTATTTTAAAAATTTTCAGAACCAAATATGTTGACGACGGCTCAACCAAATATAGACAAACTATATAGTTTTGGAATCAGGAAATTGTGTTCTTCAAGAATATAGAACCAAATATAGCGCATCCCATTTGAAAAAACTGAAAGCATGCAATATTTCACATTTCTGACATTCAATTTTTGTTTTTGACCATGGATTTTAAAAATTTAGCCAATACTGTACAACTTTTGTGTTTACACCTGTGAGGTGGGGTGTCAATATATAAAAAAAACACCCTGTACATAATCCCATTGATTTTGTATGAATATTTAATTTACTAGAACACAAAAAAAAACAATACATCAACTCAACCACTAATGATATACTGTTTGAGGTTAAAGTTCTTGGGACAAAGACAAAAATGTAATTTTTTTATAGTTATCCAGCTTTCTAAACTTTCTTTAAACCTAAAATATGGTTTTTTGTATCCCCCCCCCCTGCCCCCACACTGTATCCGCCACTGTATATAGAAATAATTAAAGTTTAATTTATCAATTTTTGGTTCTCAGTTTATCCAACACAGTGCTCATCAATACCTGAGAAAATCATAAAATTCCTGTAAAATCTACTTTGAAGGTTCCTGAAAAATACTTTGAGCCATTCCAGCAATTTGAAACTTCCAAGATCTATTGATTACATTACATTACATTACAAAACACAAGGTGTGGGGTCTGTGATTCAAAATGACTCTTACCCACCTTGAAATAGCCCCCATTAACCGAAAAAAATTATTACCTTCACCCTGCGCTCACATATTAGACTCACCCATTTATTAAATAACTGGCGGCTTTCTTTAACCAGAAATATCCTTCTATTGAAAAAACAATTTAAGAAAAAAAAAAAGCACAGTCACGGTCAAGTAATTAATTTTTTTTCTGACTAAAGGTCGGTTTAGATGTCAACTTTTTTCAGGGGAGGACCTTTTGATTGCCAATTTATCGTTTAATTAGTTTTTTTTTTCTTTGGCGAATATATTTGTAATTTGTTTCAGGATCGGCACGTCAAAGATTCGCCGGGAAGTGCCATGGATCGAGAGCCAGAAGTAGATCCTAGTCAAGATTATCAATTGCTGCTCGGCTACGAAAACAATACTCATACGGTATTGAGATTCAGGAGGCGTCTGGATACTTGCGATCATCATGATATTGCTATTACGGTAAGCAACTGGTATTTTTAGCCGTTTATCATTCAGTAGGCTAATCAAAATTCGCCATTTTATCTATAAGAATATTTATAGAGGTAGGGTCATAAATTTAATAATTAAAACGGAATTGAATGGAACCTTATCTAAAAAGAATCTACTTAATTAAGTTTTATTGTTTTCTTTATGTTTAATCAAGTGATAGAAAGATAATATTATTCATTAGTCATGATTATTGAGTCCTGAAAAACTTCCAGGAACTAGGTAGCTATTATGTGCATCACTGGTTATAAGAGACAATTTTGTTCTAGAAAAAATTCTAGTAAGAATTGGAAATACGTAAAGCTCTGACAGTTTAATGAGGGGGGTTTAACAGCCAATACATATGGTTTTAAGCTCCGGAATCCCTTTTGCAACATTGGAAACCTATGTAAAGCTTTTCCGAAGCTTATCGACCGATTGGCGGTTTTGGCAACCGAAAAAGACCGCTCTCAGTTATAAAAAGGTTTGGTTTTTTTTTTTGCTTGAAGGAAATATAGCTAAACATCAATCCAGTTTCAAAAGGCCTATATTTCCATAGAAAGTGTCTTTGAATTCGATTTAAAAATATGTGGAATGAAATAGGCTCTTACTTCTTTCGTTGGTCCGTCGTGGACTACTCCTATCATTTGCCGTCGTCCCTTTTCTACCATATTCTCCCTAAGAACATCTTTGTACCATAGTTATGGTCTCAGTAATCCATATTTCACTCATCAGGATATATGTTTGGGTTAGTTTTTTAAAGAATGCCGTTAGTAACAGCTAACTTATTGTTCTTTAGTTGTCTGATTGCCTTTTCAACCTCCTCTAATCTAGGAACCTCGCTCCGTTCTTGTTGCATTGGTTTCTGTGGAATTTCGTTAAACTTGTCAGTTACTGGATAATAAAATATCCAGAGTATGTACCACTTTACAATTGAAAAGCATATAATGCTGTCTTCGAATATTGCAGTCTGAAAAGTGAAGTTTTAAAGATTCAAAAAAATCTCCCTTTCCAGTGAGTGAATATTATCATAACCCTCCGAATTATAATTTTTCAGAGAATAACTGATATCACATCTAAATTACGCGTTAGTAACATTATGGGTACAGTCACATATTTTCATTAGACAAGTTCAAGATCAATAATTTTATAAATTAGAAAATCGCTATTGTATCCGTTAAAACAACTCAATTTCGTAACAAATCAAATATTTATACGAATGCATGCATCTAGTTCCAAAGTAAGATTTAATATGACAAGTCGGCAGCCAGGAAAATGTATATTTTGCCGTAGAGAGAGCTGCTGCAGCTCTAAATCGTGACGTTCGTAAATCTCGTACAACGCGCAAAACGTCACCGGCTGAATAATTAAACCGAGAGGCCCTTTTTCTTTTATTCCAATAGTACCTATTCAGTTTGAGTTTTCGTATAAATAACGTAGTATTAATGGAAATTTTTAGAGCGCCATTGAATTGAAGTTCAATGAATAAAATCCAAAAGAAAGACATTTTCAGTTCAAATGTAAAAATTATGGTCCGCCCATCTCCCTTAATAACCCAAAACTCAACATCATAATTCATCATTAAAACCGACTGACAAGATTACCGAGGAAAGATAAATGTGCCAAGTTGAGGGCTGTCAGATCAAGTTTGAGAAATAGGGGGCGCTATTAGCAAAATATGGAAAAAAGGGTCCACACTTAAAAGAGCAGTTGAAATTAGGTTCGAAAAGCGTTTACGAGTTCGACTAAAAACGTCTGAGCGAATTCTTCGCCAATGACTTGCAGATAACGCCCGAAAAAGGAAACGCCGGATTAAAGGGAAACATTTTTTGGTTCGACTTCGAAAAGCTTGACATTTTAATGGGGTATTTAACGGTTTAAAACATATGGTTTTTTGGGATGTTTGAAATCCCATTTTGCACCCTGAACCGAATAAATATCTATATAAGGGAATTATAGTCATTTTGAGGGCGTTTTCATTTGACTTACTAACATGCCCTAAATGGGCTTAAATTATATGAAAACACCTGTTGGCAGTTGTTAGTATTGCGTGAATTGGGGAAATAAAGTTGATATCATATGTGCAGGAAATAGATGTGTTATCAGTTTTTTTGCAGCAGTCTTTTGCCTCTCAATTTACTAGTTCATGCCAAAACTATACTGCATGTATAATCGCCAAGTTGGTACCAACATCACGTATAAAAATTCCGGTGTTACATTCTAATAACAATTTTATATGCACGCTTAATGTAACCAAATACGCACATTACATTAACCTGTTCAGCCGCTCCTTTTATAGCGATAATTAAGTTAACGAATAAAACGCATGGAAGTTTTAACGGTGAATCTGTTGCAATAAAATTAGATTTCGTGGGAAAGCAACAGCTAAATAGCGCAAATTGTCTGTTACTGTGTACGAAATTAATTTGCTTCCGATTGCAATTGCGATTTTATTCAAATTCATAAAGACAAACTCATTAATACCCCCCCCCCCCTTTTTTTTAATCTCCTTTCTAATTTGTCTAAAAGCAATTAAGAGAAGTAAGGTTTAAAGTCGGCAATTAACGCCGCAACGGCCACAAAACTTAAATGTTCAGGAAGAGTCATAAATCACGTTATTGAAGGCCAGGAATGCAGCAGTCGATCAGGCTCCATTGTATTAGAGCGCGCTTAAGAGAATTCTTTAAATTTCACATGAAATTAATCAGAATCTTCCCAAGACACTTAAAATTATCGTCGACCAAAACAAGCTTTTCTATTTACCGGAATATGATTGCGTTTTCCTGTTTTATTATGAGAATCAATACTAATTATTATGGAGTAAAAACTTGATTTGATTATGTGTACCAGGCTTCCTCAATTAATTTCCCACAACATACTCGTATCGAGTTCACGGACAGTTAGGTACAGCGCCAGTGAGATTTAATTTATGGAAAATGGAGCGGAATGTTGATAAACTTTAATTTATTTTAAGTAATTTATGAGTTGTAAATTGATGAAAAGGTTGGCGATGATTTTCATGTTTCAGCCGTTGCTTCTGCATTTCGGCTCTCAATCTATCTTCAACTGATAATTTGTTGTTTTTCAGTTGAATTTCAATCATTATTTTGTCGGTACCGGGTCTTCATTTTGGCAATGTGAGTCTTCATTTCTTCAATGGCTGTTTCTATCATTGCTTGTTATTCATCGCTTCTTCTTTGTCTCTTGAATTACCTTGTTTCATCTTCCTCTTGATTTGTAGCCATACAGAAAAGTCGTTGGAGCTTGTTCAGCTTTGTTCTGTTATGTAGGTCGCTTTGCTAAGCGAGTTCATCCTCTTCTTTTCAGAAACCACAGAAATTTAGAAAATGTGTCAGGACTTTTTTTGCTGTTGATAAAATTGATCAATCCGATCTTCTTCGGGATGTTTGATTCTATCCTTTCGAGTCAGTTCAATGATATTTTCATACCACAGCAGTTAGAGAAGAACTCTCTGGAATGATTAACTTCTACTCTGTCTATCTGTATCTGTAGGTTTGGGAGGGTGGTATGGTATGCCACAGCACTTAGGCCACATTAGGCCCATTGTACGCCTCCACAAAAGGAGAGGTCATCCTTAGCCCGTCATCCAGCCTAGCGATTCCACATAGGTGATGACGTGGCCGAGGTCGGTGCCTCTGATTTCTTCTAGTGATGGGTACGATTGGCCTAATCTGGCTCTGCGTATTGGCGAAAGAGCAGTGCAGTCACAGAGAATGTGCTCTATCGTCTCGTCTTCTTGATTACAAGCCCCACACAAGGAAGGATGTGGAACTGAGGAACTGCTTGTCTGCAGTCCGTGTGGATGTGCACGATCTTGTCAGTGATGTGTTTGCTGACTATTTGTGTGATTGTTGCTGACTATTTGTTCGGCCGCGATGGCTATGCCAGTAATTTCTGTTTGGAGGATATAAGGCATGGAGCCAAGGAATAAAGCTAGGTTCAGTTTGGGAGCTTTGGAGTATACTCCGCATCCCGAGCCTGTTTGAGTTTTGGAACCATCAGTGTAGATGTTACTTACCCCTGCTACTGTGTTGTTTCCAACGCCTTTCGTGTTGATTGCGTAGTGCTTTTTGGAAACGAAACATGGTGTTGCAGTGTCCACTCTGGCCTCCAACAATGGAAGCGAGTTCGTTGCCTCACGCCATATGCGGGGTCTCTGCAAACCGACTTCTGCACTTGGTTCTATATCAACAGTGCGGAAGCGCATCATTGTGGTTGGAACGACCTCTTTGACAAGTATAGTTGGTGTGGTTTTCATCGCACCAGTTATGTTGAGGCATGTCATTTGTCATTCTCTGAATGTGGTCTAGTTTTCGGCTTATAGTAGGTCTGTTCGATCCCAAGACAATAGTCCCATAGGAAGGCATAGGCCTGATGATGGTTGTATAGATCCACATAACTACCTTGGGGGAGAACCCCCAGGTCCTACCGATAGTCTGCACTGTTCATAGGCGATATATGCTTTCTGTCTTCTCTTAGCAATATGAGAGTAGGTACCATGTTCGTTTGCAATCGAGTATCACTCGAAGATATTTGACCTCGGCAACAAAACTAAGTTCGGTGTTTGAGAGTCTGGGTGCTGTCGAAGTACCAGTTTCCTCTTTCTTGGGAATAGGACCATCTCAGTTTTTTGAGGTTGATGGACAGAGTGTATTAGTATTAAATTTAACAAACAATGTTTGATGTTGAAAAATCTATAGTTGTCTTTTGTACGTGTTATTCAATCCAGAAATTAAGATTTTATTCGTGTTCCCTATGGATTTTTTTTTCATGAATATATTGATTAAATTCTTATTTTTTTGATTGAAACGGAGTAATTGAGAAATGTTCCATTTTGGATATAAGAGGTTAATAAATTTACATTTAGCACTAGGTGTTTATCTTATTTAAAAAAACACGTACCTACATAAAATAAGAAAAGGAAAAATAGTAGGTACCTACCTACATTAATGGCCGTTTGCACCGACTGTTTT